CGTTACGGAGAGATGACCAAATATTACCTCATATTCAATTTCTTTCACCAAATCAATATCCATATCATATGCCTTTTGCCAAGAGCTACCCATGATTTTGAAAATCCATTGATTGCTAAATAAAACATTATACAATGCGGTTGCTGTTTGAAGTAAAGTGAATAGGATCAGAAATGCAGAGATCTATGAAAAAACAAATTTATCGGGTTAAGGATATATATGTCAAGAGGTGTTGTGGATCTGTGTTACAATCACTTTCTAAACGGTAATGCACAATGTGCGTAACGTATTGTTGTATGACGGACCGCCGCAAAGTGATCTCATTCATTTACGCCCTTTTTGCTACTAAAAACGGTGACTTTGCTAATTATCCGTAGCGTCGTGCTATCCCCTATTAACATGACGTAATTATGTTCGGGGCAGGCGTAAAGATAAGGTCATCCGCGGCGACCCCTTACGTTTAAATGATACATTTGATCACGAGCGTGAAGGAAAGGATACGAATTGTCCAACGCAATTGTTTCTTCTCATGAGTTTCACGGAGCCGAACAGGGTGATAATCCATGCGCACACCACGCACACGAAATCCCCGCTAAGGGTGAGGCGAGGTGTTAGCACAATTCCTGGAGACATCTGGCCGTCGTCAGGTGAGATTACGGCGGTAAAGGCAAAGTTACGATTATGATCTTGTGCCAAAGAAAAAATGCTACTAGGAACCTGGATTATCAAGAGAAAGTCAAATTTCGAAAGGTCATTAATTAGACCGCAGGATCATCATACATAAAAGGTGATAATAGGTGGGGAAAGGGGACGCGAGGGAACAGGAAAAAAAAATTCAAGAGGATCATCTTTATATATATATTCTTGGATAGGATATGGAATGAGACATACAACTGTCAACAAGATGGCCATCGTAATTAACAACCATCGAAAGATTCCAAGTCTTTGTACTCCATCCAAACCAAAGAATACCATCAGGTTCTCTTGTTCACCAAAAATTGCCATTTTTATCAGATGAAAAGCGAATAAAATGTATAAAAAGGTGAAATTGTACGTGATTTTTTGTTTCAATAATGAAAAATTGGGTTTGTGGTTTCTTTTTAGAGTAAAAAAAGAGAAAATTTTGTTTTGGGTTCTTCCTCGATTCGACCGACAATATTGCCTTATATACGAGAAAAAAAAAAAATCGACACTTGGGGACCCTACGCATTATTCATCGCGGGTCATTACGGAAA